TGCAGGGGAAAAGGATGGGGCTTTACTTAAAGGTCAGGTGGCCTACAGTAATTATCCACATACAAGCTCTCTCCCCCAGTAAGTAGAAACTAAACTGCAGTAAACTGGTATAGTTTCTACATACTTCAGGATAATTGTCTGCACATGGTCAATTACCACAGAGCAGCTTACATGCCACAAAACTTTTCCCTGTGGTAAATTGCTTGTATATTTACACCAGTGATGCTCAGCTCAGGTTCCATGCCACCCTAGGCTGCTGTGAGATCTTAAGGGTGCTGCAGCACTCAGACCCTAAGCAAAAAAGGTCAATAAGCCTAGGTTTGTTTGTTTGTTTTCTAATTAAAGAAAATAATAACAGCCAAACCATAGGTCTCTTTTGCTAAAGCCACACAGGGATAATCACTAGAGATGTGTGGGATATGAGTTTCCTATCCCATAAAGATTTTCAAGATTTGACATTTTTCCAATTCCAAATAACAAATAATTCCCCCCATTTTGTGCCCCATTCCTGTCCCAGCGTCCCAGGGACAAAGTGAAAATAGCTGCTCTTCCAGAGCATGGTGCTGCCATCTGTCTTCCAGCAGTCCCTGAGTTGGCAGTCATTACACACTGAACAACACACTCTGCCATGGGTAGGTGAGGGACATGGGGCCATGTTTTTCATCTCTGATCATCCTTCCTGCTTCTTCCATGCTCCCAGGGCTGGTGGAGGGTGCTTGAGGGGGAAGGTGGCTTTAGCCATTGATATATGAAGGCCCAGAGGAGCAGCTCTGGTGGCTTGGGCCATGCTTGCCCTCTCAGGTAAAGACTGGGGACAGCAACTACAGTCGGTCTCCTCAGATAAGGACTGGGGACTATCTCCAACTATCTCCAAGCCAGTCTCCTTTTCTTTTTCTTGTTGAGCCAGTATTCTCTTTGTGTTTATGACTGTTTGGAAAATCTTTGCACAGGTTATGAATTGACATTGAAATTATGAATTTGTGTATAAATCTAACCTTAAGCTTCTTAAATAGCTGTTTGCTGACAGGAAGCATATTCGGTATAATGTCCCTTATCTAACAACAGCTATAGGAAAATCAAGGACTTTATTACTTTACTTGGCAATTCAGTCAGTATCCTAGAGAGATGGACCACACTTAGAAAAATTGGTGGTGCTGAGATATTGGAGCTAGGTTTCAGGAACTTGGACTTAGAGGTCACAGCAGAACATGCTTTTGTGCTTTTGGAATTAGAGGAAACTTTTTGACTGCCAGATCTGAACAAGTATGTTGCATGGACAGAGAAAATAAACCTGAAGGCTGCTATGCAAAACACAACCATAGTGGCCCCTGTGCAAGGAAATAAGATTTCAGTCCTCCCCCACCACTAGATTGGGTTGCTGTTGAATTCAGAAAAGTTATGGAAAGGGTCCTTGCGTCAAAGTTGAGAACCACTGGTCTACAACATTGGTACGGTTGCAGAGTGACTGTGTCCCCTCAAGATCCTAAGTTCATGCCTGTGTATGGAGAGGAGTCAGTTTTGAATGCAAAGAGATCTGTCATATTTGTTGAGGGCTTAATCATTTCCATGTTTATTGTTGGAGATGGTAGACTTCTTTCTGGCTGAGCATTGTTACAAATGTAGTACTGTGCAGTACCACTGAATTTGTTCTTGGATGGCTATTAGCTTTGGAGGAGCCTTTTCTCAAAACAAAGTTAATAACAGGTCATGTGAGCATGCTAAATAAGCAGAGTGCCATTGCCATTAAGTCAGTCAGATGGAAGGGATTCATAAATCACATTCTCAGCAATCAGACAATGTTACCATTTTGAAACAAGCATAATGTAAGCCCTCTGGAATATTGAGCAGAAGGGGAGCACAGGACACTCATGAAGCTTCTGTTGTTTTTTAAGTTAATTGTAGCCATTAAATAGCTCTCTAATGGTACCTCTAAATGCTTTTTTCTTCCTGCCTGATAAATTTTGGTAGTATTTTGGGAGGCAGCCTCCTCAAATGAAAGTCCTTCTGGGTGCATCCATATGAGCGCACACGTGCCTCTTGCCCCAGCTCAAACCCCTTTGAGGTAGGGCAACAAGCATGTGCAAGAACAAAAAAACCTCGCAGCGCAGGGAGAAAATTAGACCCCTGGATATCCAGGGGTCTAAAAAAAATGACGTTTAAACAAGCAGCACAGGCAACTGGAGGCTGGGTCCTCCATGGAGATGCTTTGGCTGCCAAAGCGTCTCTATGGTTGGCACTCGCCCTGGTGCTG